GTCTAACATGTAGAAAAATGTTTACTTTTAGCAAAAATAACTTTTTTATTATTATTTTTTTTGTGATAATGTGCCTGGACAGAAGTTTTGGAATGGGTTTATTTGAAGAGGGATTCCATATCCCAGTTTTTTTTTTCAGTGTAATTCTGGGACAATCTGTGATCTTGCCACATTTTAATACACAGAAAATCTGGCTTTTTGATGCCACTGAAGTCGCTGAGTCCTGAGGGCACTTTAATGAACTGGAGATTGGGTGAAAGCCTGATGAACTTTTGAAGAATTACAGTCAGAGGTCAATTCTAGACAAGTAAAATCCCACAGGTGATAAAGAGTTTGTACCTTTATGCCTTACACTGGAAGGAAAATGTAAACTCTGATAAAGCCAGTCCTCATGTTTGAGTATCTGTCACAATAATGGAGTCCCCCATTATATATGGGGATTTTTAGGAGGGTTTTCTTCCCCTGCAAAGCAATTAAATTCCCCATACTGCCCATCACTCACCATCAGACGTTTACTCGTGTCCCTGCTTTCAGTTTGGTCACTGAAAGAGCACCTGAACATTCACAAGCTCGGGAGGAACATCCTGAAGAACTTTCATTTGTGGGCCTGCCCTTGGAGGGTCGTGACCTTAAAATGCCCGTTCTTAGTCACGTGGGGATGTAAAAAACATCCCTTTTTTTCTCCTGTTGAGTCAGACCACAACTGAAAGCAGGCAAAGTAGATCTTATTTTCCTTTCATTGAGAAGTCTCTAGAAAGAAGGTGGTGATTCTCCAGCCGTGGTGCTGCTGGGGTTGTGTTTCCGCCGGGGCCCAGCTGTGTGAGAGGTCCTAAAACTTGCAGCAAGATTAGACCATTCCACAGACAACTTGCAGAGCAGAGAGGCAAAAAGGAGATGAGGCTTTTCAGGGCCCCCACAGCGATGAGAGTGTGGCAGGTCAGTGCCACAGAACGTGCCAGGCTTACCCTCCAACAGGTCTTTTAAAAGAAAAACAAAACCCCCACTCAAACCCCTTTAATGATTATAGCAGTGAGCCCAGACTTTTAAGAAGGGACTGCTTTTCTCCCTCACCTTGCAACTCACCTGAAACACGAGCTTTTGGCCCGTTGTGGCTGTTGCTCCTCACCTGTTATTCCATAATTGCACCCCTCTGTTCTCCCCTCGGCCGAGCCCGGAATTCGGCCCGGGGCAGTCCCAGAGGAGCCAGGGTGTAGCTGGAAACAAGTTCCTGACGAGTTCCTCTGCGAGAAGTTCGTTGTTTACAACGAGTGGAGGAGTTTTCCTCTCCTGGTGCTCGAGTTGATCCCAGAGAACCCCCAAAAAGCCGCCCCCCAACTGCCCAACTCACCTCCCCGTCACGACCGGGTTTCCTTCCTGCAGCTGCTCGAGGAAGGGGTTTGTTTGTTGTGGGGTTTTTTCCCCCTCTCTCCCGGGGGTTGCCCTTTATCTTCCACGGGAACAGTTGGTGCCCTGGCTGACTCTGATCCAGGTGGTTGTTTTCCACTCCTGTGCTCCCCAGGTTCCGCTTGGGCAGGCGGGTTCAAGCGCTCCCCGGGGACTGAGCCTGTGCCACCCACTGAAACCTCCCTGCCCAGCCACCACCTGACTCATTTTCCCATTAGAAAAGGGGTTTTCACTCAGTGGCAGGGGACAGAAAACAGGTGTTGCTTTTGTTTTTTTTTTTTTTTTTTACTCCAAACTGGAAAAAATGATTGTAAACCCACAAAAATGGGGAGGGGAATTCCGAATTGGAGAGATTTTAATCGAGTTGGGCGACTGAACTCACTGCCCTCAGCATCACAAAGCTCCACTGGAAGCTCTTTGTAGGAATTATTTCAAAAATCAAGCACCTCTACCTACATTTCCCTGCCCTTCAGGGGAGGTTTCAGTCTTGTATTGTTGTGTAGGGAAATGATGAATCGTTGTGATGTGACTGTGCATGTGATACCTGTGGGGTGCTCGTGGTGCTTTGGTGGATTTTCCATGCAATGGTGAATTTTCCATGCAACCACAAAAATCTGTTGTAGAAGGGGAGCAAACCCGTGGCTAGGTGCTTGTAAATGTAAAAGAAATAATATAAATTCTTTTTGAGATACCCTAGAAAGCCTGAAAAAATTAATTTAAGGGTGAGCTATGATATAATTTTAATTTAAGGGTGAGCTATGATATGATTTTTATAGTTTGGTGAAATAACCACTGACCTGCAAAGGTTTATACTAGAAAAGGTGGTCTGGGCCCACCTGGGCTGTCTCAGAGGTTTTTTGAATTATTTGACTTATTAAACTTATTTCACTTATTTGACCGTCTTAAGAGGTTGTCCATGAAATATCAAAGGTAAAAAGAACTGGTTTGGGAAAACACGTGAATAACA